AATTTATGGAATCTTGGAATTAGAAATGGCTCACAGGAAATTCTCCATAATTAACGCTCAAATTGCACACCTAACTGGAGAATTTGGTAACAGGAGATACAATTGTTCGAGTCTCGCGGCTCGTTCTTATAGTTACCGATTGTCAGCAATTATAAAAACGAGCTGCAAGGCTCGAGTAAATCGTATCACCTCTTCCCTAATCGTCCATTCTCGTTTCCAAGCAGAGCGTTAATTAGGAAGAACTTATTACAGTTCGCTCCGTTTTTGGAGACGCAGAAGTCGTTGCGAAAATTGGACAATGGCCCATCGTGTTGCTAGGGGAATATTTTGTAAGACTTTACTTGTGCAATTTTGCCACGTCGATGGCTCGTCGAGATATATTCGTTTGTTCGAGAGATCATTTTTATGGATTCGTTAGACGCTTCCGTGTGAATTTCCTGGAAGTTCTTTTACAGAATAGATGGCGGGTCGTGTATTGTTGACCAAGAATAATTGTTTCCGGACTCATTGTCCCGGTATTCTCTATGTTCTTTCGAACGTTTCGTAACAGTTTATCGCGAAAACATCGAATGTTGCGATCACCGGCAAGGGTTGAACGGATGTAAAAGAAAAATGTCTATAGGTGTGATAAACTTTTGAACCGGCTTGTTGAACAGTTTCTTCGATTGCAATTTGCACAACTTACGTAACGAACTTATTAAGTAGAAATTAAAACCGAACGGTCGTTTTAGGAGAAATTGAAAACGCGTAAGAATTCTGACAAAAGTATAAATTTCTATTGAAACTAAAATTATTGAGACATTTTAAGACTCTTACAAATTATAATATAATTATTATTATAATTATTAATATAATAATAAACAAATATATATATTATATATAAAATAAAAATATATATATATAATAATAATAAGTTATATTATTAATATAATAATTATAATGATTATTATATAATGATTATTATATAATTATTATTATATAATTATTATTATATAATTATTATTAAATACAAATTGAAACCGAACGGCCGCGCTTCGTTGACAATTATATCCGCGCACGAATGCGCCCGTAGAAAATATTCCGAGCGCAATTCTGTTCCGAAATGAACTTCTCGGATCGATGAAACCATTGATCAAAAATCGTCTAGAAAGTCGGCGGCGGGGAACAGCGAATTAGAAATCAATGAACGAAAACCGCCTAGAAACCCGGACAAGAAAAAAAGGAACCTCGTTTCGAGCAATTAGCCTAATTGCGAGTGTCCGCCTCAGGATTTCCACAGTCATCGATGTCAAAGCCATCCATTACTTTCGCGTGTCGATAATGGTCGGTTTGGCGCGCGCATGGCAATGACCTGTCGCCGGTGTGCGCCGAGGGATGATTACGGCGCGAGGCTGCATAAAAGCGAGACCCGTCGGAACTGTCGAACGCATCTTTTCTCTCGGATTCTCCGTTGCAATGGAGCCTGTCGTGCGAAGAACCGCGCGGTCTTTCGAAAACGACGAAATTACAGTAAATTCTCCCCAATTGACGCTCGGATTTTGCTGAAAAATGGACAATTTTGGAAGAGGAGATACGATTATTATTACACGATATAGTAATATAATAATATAATAATATAATAATACAGTAATACAATAATGTAATAATATAATAATATAACAATATAATAATACAGTAATACAATAATGTAATAATGTAATAATATAATAATACAATAATACAGTAATACAATAATATAACAATATAATAATACAGTGATATAATAATATAATAATATAGTGATATAATAATATAGTAATATAATAATACAGTAATACAATAATATAACAATATAATAATACAGTGATATAATAATATAATAATATAGTGATATAATAATATAGTAATATAATAATACAGTAATACAATAATATAACAATATAATAATACAGTGATATAATAATATAATAATATAGTGATATAATAATATAATAACATAGTAATATAATAATATAATAATAATATTATTATTGTACGATATTAATACGATAATATAGTTATTCGACTATAAAAGCGAGCCACAATGCTCGAGAAATCGTATCTCCTCTCCCGGAATTGTCCATTCTTGTGTACAATTCGAACATTAATTATGGAGAATTTACTATTACTAGAATTTACTATTAGAATTTACTATTATTTAGCGAGAATTTACTGTACACTTTCGACAAATCCTTGGAGAACAGCGTGATACTGATTTCGAACGAGATTTTAGTCGAGATTTCGAGCGACAAAGCTGCGAGCAGCGACATTACAGTGCGAAAGGTGACCGAACCTTTAGAATAGGATGACCTTCGAGCGACCTTGGGCTCTAGATTTTTTTAATTGCCGTGGAACCCACATCGAACCGGATTCCAGGCGACGAAGACAATCGTAGCGGCACTGCGGCCGGGAAAGGCGATCGGTGCTTTAGAATAGGATGACCTTCGAGCGACCTTGCGGGCTCTAGATCCCTTTTAATTAACGTGAACCTGATTTCGGATCGGATAAGGCAGCTGCAACGGCACTGTAGTCGAGAAAGCTAATCGGAGCTTTAGTATGTGGCGACCTTTGGACGACCTTTGGAGCACCTTTGGACGACCTTGGACTAAAAAAATGTGTTGCAACCAGCACGAAAGCGATTTTAGATGAGATTTCGAACGGAGTCGCGGCTCGCGGTCGAGGCCGGGGCCCGTTCCATTAGGAATGGCGCGGCCGACCGGGGCCCGTTTTCACGGGGCCTGACACACGGTAGAATTTCGTCGAGACGGATGGCCCGATACGACGAATGAGGTAACGGTGACTCCCGACTATTTCGGATTTCCTAGCACGCAGGAATTCCGAAGGTTCGGCTGACGAATCGAACGGCGGGAGCGAGTTAAAGCACAGCCAAGTGGAATAAGCGGCTGACCGTTATTCGACCCACCAAGCTGATATCAAAGAACCTACAACACTTCGAGCCCGTGATCGTGTGTCGCTGAAAAATTTTATTGGCGATCGGCGCCTGCTGTCGTCCGATTCTCGCTGTCCGTCTCGCGGCGGACGAGATTCCATAAATCACTTGTTTCTACTTCGTCGGATATATGTATATTGTTGCAGCTTCCCGCGTGCTGTGTCCGCGAACAATTTTTTCGACGAGAGTGAATTACACGTGGATAAAGTGGAGATTTCAGGCTTTAAAATGAGTTTAGTCTCGTTGTTCTGCGATTTTTATTCACGAAGTTGCAGTGTTTCGAATATCGTCGATGTTTCGGGGGTTGGAAATTTCGTGTAAAGTCTGGATCGAGGTTTTCCATCCACTGTGTCGCGAATAAATTTTATTAAAGAAATCGATGGACAGTTTTCGAAACTAGAGACTTCGGGCTTTAAAATGAACTACGTTCCATTGTTGTACGATTCTTTTTCAAAAAGTTACAGCTGCTCGAATATCATCAATTTTTCGAGAATTCAAGATTTTGTGCAAAATCTAGAACGAGGTTTTCCACCCGGCATATTATAAATCAATTTTTTCAGAAGAAACTGACCATTATTATCCGAAAGTAGACACTTTGGGCTTTAAAATGAGCCTAGTTCCATCGTTGTACGATTTTTTTGCACAAAGTTATAGCTGTTCGAATATCAACAATTTTTTCGAAAATTTGAAACTTCGACGAAACTAGTAAAATCTAGAACGAGAATTCCCATGCACCGTGTCGCAAATAAATTTTGTTGAAGGAATCGATGGACGGTCTTCGAAAGTAGAGACTTCAGGCTTTAAAATGAGCTACGTTCCATCGTTGTACGATTTTTTTGCACAAAGTTATAGCTGTTCGAATATCAACAATTTTTTCGAAAATACGATATATTATCCATATTAATAATTACACACATTTATTTATATATTACCGATTGTCAGCAACTATAAAAAACGAGGTGCAAGGCCCAAATAATCGTATCTCCTCTTCCCAAATTGTCCATTTTTTTATGCAATCTGAGCGTCAGTTAGAGAGAGTCTACTGTGAACAGAAATGGACAATTTGGGAAGAGGAGACACGATTTTCGTGCAGAATCTGAGCGTCAATCAGGGTGAATCAATTGTTCTCGATTTTATCGATGGTTGCAAAGGAACGAGAACATGTCAGCTGCTCGTATTCGACGGTTTTGAGTCGCTATGATTTCGGGCAGGCTTCTCGTTAGCCTACTTAAACGTGTAACAGTAATCGGGAGCGTCGTCCAAAATTTCAAACGCTGTCACACATATTGCTCGCGGTTGCAACGATTTCATGCGGCGATTAGTATGTTCGCTCTGCTCGATCTCACGATGTCCGTTGACTACTAAGAACGTTAATAATGCTTATCGCGAGATGATCGTACAGTCGGTGTCGGATCGTTGTCGCCGCCGAATCATGAGCGACGGAAATCGGAGCTGGCGGAAGTGGATATTTGAAGTGGCATAACTTCGCGGAGAACGATCGGATAACGATCTACCTAGGCTTGTTTTAAAAAGCAAAGCGTCCGCTTTTGAACGCCATAAGCTGCGCAATATTTTTGTTGTTCTTTGCGCTATAAATTGAAGGGGAAAGAGAAAGTGACTTCTTTTTCGCATTTAGTATACGTATAGTATATTCAAATGATTGCGCAGAGTTTAAATATTTTGTCCGGTCATTCGAACTATTATAGATTACATGAGCGAAGTTTTCTCTTTCCATTAACACCGTGAAAATTGAGCTACGATTTTTTCTCGCTGTGTTATCGTGCTCCGAACGAAAAATGCAGCACGCGGAAAATCGATGAAAATCGTCTCTCGTTTTGACAGATTCGAATGGCTCTGCGAACTTGTAAAAATTTTTTTTCGAACTCGGACCACCGTAGACTCGAAGATCAAAGTCTCCCCTTTAAAATCGCTCTTCAAACTTGAATCTACGATTTTTTTTCGCGAAGTTATAACGGTTCGAAGCGGTCGTCGGTATTTTAATGTTAACCCGATACCCATACTTTGCTTTCAGATTATCAGAGAAGAACCTGATCTAGAATGCAAAATCAGAAATGGATCGTCCTACGTGTATTTATCTTCCTCCTTATCGGGGCGACACAGATTACGCTCGGTAAGTAATTAAACGCTGCTTCGAGCAACAAAACTTGGCGACACTCGTTTGTGGCACCTCGCAGCAGTATTTTATTCGACAAAACAAACGATCGGTTGCTTTTTATTTTATTAAAAGAAAAAATGATTAATTGCTTGTTACTTGATTAAAGAATGATTGTTGCTTGTCTTTTGTTCGATAAAAAGAACCGATTAAATAAACGATCGATTGCTTTTCATTTTATTAAAAGAAAAAATGATTAATTGCTTGTTACTTGATTAAAGAATGATTGTTGCTTGTCTTTTGTTCGATAAAAAGAACCGATTAAATAAACGATCGATTGCTTTTCATTTTATTAAAAGAAAAAATGATTAATTGCTTGTTACTTGATTAAAGAATGATTGTTGCTTGTCTTTTGTTCGATAAAAAGAACCGATTAAATAAACAATCGGTTGCTTTTTATTTTATTAAAAGAGAAAAAAATGATTAATTGCTTGTTACCTGATAAAAAAATGATCGTTGCTTGTATTTTGTTCGATAAAAAAGAACCGATTAGTTGCTTTTCGTTTTACAAAAAATAAAATGGATAATTAATTGCTTTTATCGTTATCCGAAATATAATCCACGGGATAAGTTTCTATAAGTCTGACCGCGTAATCTGAATGAACGCGTGTGTTTCAATGATTTATGATCGCGACGACAGTTATCGTCGACTGTTGTTGTTCGTCGTTGGACAAGTAGTGTAGCGTGTCATTAACGTTAATGGACAGCGGCTCGAGGCGTTAACGTAAATATTTAAACGACGAAGCATGATTAGTCGGTATCTTGACGAAGGCGGTAATAAACATGTGCATCTCCGATAAGAAGACGGAAACGGGGTCATTTGTCATAATTGATCGTGAAGACATTGTTGTCATATTAATTCACAACGAATGTTGTACAGCGTAAAATAGAACAAAAGTAAACATTGATACGAGAGAGAAATGAATAATTCAGATTAATGTCGAATTTAATTCGAACTGAATTCGAGTTAAATTCTAATTGAATTCCGATTGAATTCAGATTCAATTCAAATTGAATTCTAATTAGTTTCGATGTTCAAATTCCGTCTAAAAATAAAATTATGATATTTAGAGTTAAAAATTAATGCAATAAAAATTAACAAATTAATAATATAATTTATGATTATAATTATAATAATATATAATTATGTATAATATAATGTATAATAATATAATAATATATAGTTATGAAATAATATATAATTATATAATAGCATATAATAATGTAATAATATATAATTACGTTAACATATATAATCAATACAATAAAAATAATAAAAATTATATGATAAAAATCTGGAAAGAGTTCGATTAAAAATTACGATCTTCGATCGAAGATATTCGAACGAAAGTAGAAATTAATGTTTCAAAGCAGAGAATGAATCTTGCAGGTTAAAATCAAATTTTGTGAAGTGGTAACTGCAGTTAAATGTTGAAAAAATGGAAAGTGACCTTGATAGCAAGGTCACGAAACAAGGCAACAAGAAAAGGGGGCACGGCACGCCTCCTCGATGCCGTGTAATTTTTGTGTGCAACATTTCTTCGTGCAATGTATAATTTCAGTTATATAGGGTGACTCCATTAGGCGAATATCTTTCGACTTTCAAGCGATTCGTATTGTTAATAAATAAATATTAGAATCGTTAATGTATCGTTTTACCGTAGCGATTCGTGGATATTTAGGCGTGCCAAGCGTTTATTGGACGATGATTTATAATTGTTGAAATACGGTAATTTTAATTGTTGAAATACCAGTAAATTCGCCCGAATTTTCCTTCGACTTGTCAAGAAAACTGGACAATTTCGCGGCTCATTGTTACAATTTCCGATCGTCAACAATTACAAAAACGATCTGCGAGGCTCGAATAATCGTGTCTCCACTCCCGAAATTGTCCAATTTTGTTCGCAAGCCGACGGAGAATTCGGCAGAATTGATCGTAATTGTTGAAACAATCGGCACACACGATCGTTCTACGAGGGTGCTCCATATTTTTAAGCGAGGCTCGCGCAGAAAACCGAGCGGAGACGCTTAAAACCCCATAACCTCTTTTTCCAGAGAAAGTATAGCCAGGATTGGCGCTCGGTTCGATGATTCTGATTATGATTGTGTATTATGCGATCGCTCCGGGGACCCCTATTATGGAGCGTCCGGAGCGTGACGCAGAAATTATGAAATTCATGGCTTGATAAAATTTGCAAGCTTGTTAAAAAATACACGGCTGCGTTCCGCGATGTCCGCCGCGTCGTTTTGCCGCGAGAAAATTTTAAATAGCTCTCACGGTCGCGTAGGAAAAAACATTTAAAATCGAACGTTCGAGTTTGCTTCTTTTACTTTTGCTTCTTTTATATTAAATTTGCAATTATTTGGACATTCTTGAACATGGAAAAACGCACAGTTTTACACGGCAAAGAACGTGGAATCGTGTCGCCGCAAGGAAAATTGGAACAGCTGTTACGATTGACGAGTGGAAAATTCCGAAAGTTGAAATTCCGTTCGTTTCGAATGAAATTCACGCTTCGTCGAAAATGCGCGAACATTTGCAAACGTTTATGGTTGCATTCTGCGACGTTTCATCTGCACAGGAAAACCCGTCAGCGACAGAACAAAGAGAGAAGAGGAGATCCCCGAGACGAATTGGACCCGGCTGGCGGATGAATGGTTCGCTGCGAGGGCGAAAACAGCGGATCAGATGGATGTTACCATTCTACCGTTCACCGACACTATCAGAGACCTACCGCCGACGGTAGAGATCGTTGACATCAACGGCACCAGTCCTGATCGACTTAAGAAAGTACTGTAACGTTTATTGTTCCCGTCGAATAATTATCTCCGACCGATTGATCCACCGTTTTCATCTTCGAGCGACCAAAAAATGGCATTATTCGGCTTCCCCGTTAACTTCTCCGTTAAAAAGTACAATTTTCTACCGATTTTCACCGACAGAAATAATCGCGACGCGTTCTTGAAGTCGACTGAAACTCATTTTTGCTCGATTTAAAGCAATTAGGTTACTATTAGGCGCCTCTCGTTTTCAGAGCGCGCGCGCGCGCGCACCAATGCAGGGTGTCCCGAAAATGTCTCCGATTCAACGATGGACGCGTATCGAGTCGACGAAGGTCGCGTCTGAATTTTCCATCGAATTTCCTACGATGATTTCCTGATCAGATGAAAGCGGCAATTTTCAGCGGCCGGCTTTTTGGTCGTTCCGTGTTTCCGGACTTTTTTTCGCGTCGGTCGCGACGATGTCGCCGACTCTCACTTTTAGTGCCAAAATACTTTCACCAACTCGATCGACAAAGATGCAACGATAACCGTGTCCTTGCCTCCCTTGTTGGCGCGCGCACGCAAGCACGAACGCACACGCGCGCGCGAACAATGTCGGTGACTTTCCCCGCGAAAGTTCCTCTAGAATCGACGCGAATTTCCATCCGCATCCGATCGCCATTATTCCGTAAGACGTGGTCGAAAAAGCGAAACAAAAACAAAAGAAACGGAATCCGCGTCCTCCTCGAATTATTTGTCCTCCGGGAAGTTATTATACTCGCCTATCTTAATCACTAATAAAT